ATGTGGATTTAACGAGTGTTTATTTGATTTGATTGATTATTTGGTTTGTAAGATTGGAATTGATTTGTGTGTTTGAGTATTGATGAATTGCTCATATTTGTATTTTTTTTTTTATAATTAATGAATTTTTCTTTCGGATGAGGCAAATTGAATATAGAATTATGAAAAATTATTGTCTCACGTTTTTTTTTTGTGTGTTCAATTATGGCTCCACTTGTTCAGTGATTGATTGATTGGCGTTTCGTCTGACAAGCACAATAAGGTGATTTTTTGTGAGGGCTAATTATCATCATTTATTTGCAGTCGTTTTTGTCGGATATAATAATGAATGCTATAACGATCTTTTTATTGTTTTGATTCACATAAACCAGTTATTAAATTAATAATTCGAACAAAATAACATGAACCTTTTTAATCAACAGTCGAAGTTGAAAAAGAAATGTTTAATTAACAGTGTTAAACTGTTGGTATAGATAAACCTAACCAGTAGTCTTTGTCTGATTTGCCTTCTGGCTTTTGACTTAACAAAAAACCTCTCTTGTTTTTACTTTCTGCTGTGACTGATTTCTAATACGTTATGATGAAATCAATTCACGATGGAGTAGTGGAGATCTAAAGGGGGAAGCAAGCTTAATTTCTTGAACATTAGGATAAGAAAATCCATGGATAAAACGAAAATCTAATGAAGTTGAAAAAAGCAAATTCATGCACCTAGTATGGATGTGGGATGGGAAGGAGTGGGATTTTAGAGGTTCTAGTTGTTTTTGCCATCGCTTTCGACTAACAGTTGTGCAATGAAAACCACATAAAATTGAAACAGAATTTCAAAATCTGATTGCCTGTTCGATTTCAAATTGATCAACAGTGATAGGGTTGACAATGCTTGGTGGCTTGAACATTTTATTTTGATAATTATAGATTACAAATATATTTTTAGTAAAAAGTATGATGATTGTGTGATCTGAATTATAGTCCATGCCTGACTGCTAAGCTTTTCCACAGTTAAAAGTGGTCTAAATTAAACAAGCTTGCCATAATCCACTGATCAAACGTTGATATAAGAAATGTTGACAAAGTTTGTGGTTCATTTTCCCTGGAACATGTATGTATATTTTTCCCATGTGATGCATATGGTCAATGTCTGTCTTCTTCCTTTGGCCACCGCCAAGCAAAAGTTACCCATGGAGATCACTTTTGTCCTCTCGAATTACATTATTAATAATATTTAGGCCGACACCTTTAACTTTTCCAATCCTCCCCCTTCCCTCTTTCAATTCCGTCGGCAGCCATGTTCTTCTTTTTCCCAATATACCTCAATTATACAATCCGCTACTCAGATAGATACCCGATTCAGAATAACAGTTGATATGCTACAAATTTATGTAAACAGAGCTGCTTTTAATATTGTACGAATCTTTTTATCAGGAAATAGGCAAATACATCATCTTTATCAAGGTATATAGCTTTGGATGCATATACTTTGTCTCTCAACCACTGCTTTTTCCCACCACATCCAATGGAAGTTAAGTATTTAAGGTTGCAGTTTTGGGTAAGAAAAATTAAATTGATTAGAACAATTTTTGAGTCATTGTAGCGTTCTAACATGCATGTAGAATACGAGAAAATTAATGTTTAAAAATAGGTTGCGTGTTGGTCTTTTTAGCAATCAAACTAATTAATTTGTGAGAGAATAAATTAATTATTGAAAGAAAAGTAGTACAAAGATTGGACGGAGAGTTGGGAAAAGGTTCTTTGGCCCATATTTTGTGATCAGAGCAAAAGCTTTTGAATGTTAATCTCGTATTTAAAGGTGTAATCGAATTGAATCGAATTGATATAGTAAAAAATTTGAGTTTGAGTTTAAGTTTAGCTCTCAACTCGATATTTGATTTGAACTCGATCGAATTTTATTTTCTTAATTTGAGTTCGATTGGTGATCAAAATCGAGCTACTCGAATTCGTTCGATTAAGCTCTATTAATATGTTAAAATAAGTTCGATTCTTATATTCGACAAGAGCTCGATTATTTATGCTCGAGCTCAAACTCGAATTCAAGATATTTTATTGATTAAAATAATAAAAAAAATTTAAATATAAAAGCTCGATTAGGTTCGTGAGCTACTCGAATCGAATATAAGAATATTCGAACTTGACTCAATCGATAAGTCGAACTACTCGAACTCAAGCTCTACTCAATAATAATCAAATCAAATTCAAATTTTATTCAAATCGAATCCGAATAACTTACGAATACTAATGCATTATTTACAGATCTACTCATTCTAACCACTTCTTGGGCAATACATTAACATTAACATTGGAGTTTTGTTTTTATTTTTTTGCATTTAGCTTTATTTTTTCCAACTTCAATGATGATTCCTTGTAAATATTTTAATTAATTTTGTATAGCACTTTCTCCATAAGTTATGTCTGATTTAATTTTTTTATAATCAAATTTTATTATCTTTTATTATTGGTATTTTAAATATTTTGTTAAATTAATTTTTATAAAATTATGTTTAAAATTTTTTTTATTCTGTCATTCAAGATTTTTAGAAAGTGTTTTTCATATTTTAATTAATAATATATTTAAAATAAAATGAAGTCAAAATTGAAAAAAAAATCCTTAAAAGTTAAATTAATTAAGACATTATTTATTGACAAATGAAGTATAATATAATCATTGTGATTAACGATGAAAATAACCTGGAAAAATGATAGTAACAATTGCAATCTCCAACATATAATACTAGCTAATTAATTATAATGTTCAAAGAATAAGGAATAAAACAAAACGGAACTGTTATTGTTCAGCCTTCCGAATTTTGCACACAATACAATATATAGTGTCCTCTTTGATTGATCAGAATTTTTTTAAAAAAAAAAGGAAAAAAAATTATAGCATAGTGGATGTCTTTATCTTTATAGAACGATAATGCTTAGCATAGTAAAATCATTAAAAAAAAAAAAAATTCCTCTTAATATTTCTTAGGACTATGGATGAATAGAATATAATTAAAAATTTTTTTTTTTGTTGTTTCTTTGTTCATTTTCATAAGTATTTAAATTTGGTTTACGTTTGATTAAAAAATTATTTTATTCGTTTGAATTTGATTTGTTTAAGTGATAATATATTCACATTCAATTCAATTAAATTTAAAAATTTTGCTCGTGAATGTTAAAAGAACATGTTCACGAACAAATATAAATAAATATATTTATAAATAATAAACAAACTCTAATCAAATAAATTTAAATAAACGAATATAAATATATTTTAAAATAAGTTAAGATAAAAAAATAAAAATACAACTTTATTTATATTATTATAAAAAATCAATAAACAAATAAATTTTAAACGAATTTTAAATGAATTTATTTATAAATATAAACAAACTAAATAAATTTTTATTCGCATTCGATTCTTTTAATAAATGAATATTAAAATGTTATTTAAAATTATTTATTAAATAAAAATAAAATATATATTCACTAATAATTTATCAAAAACTTTACTCGTTACACCAATAATTTTTCATCAAAAGATAGATAAACATTTGATTCAATAATAAATACCTAAAAATCTCATTCGAAAAAAGAAAAGAGTTTAAATTTTTTATAATTAAAAACAAGATCACCGATCATCTGTAAGATGGTATTTATATTTATTTGTCTAAAAAGTTCTTTTAGTTTAATTGAATTTTAACTCCAATAATTAAGATATATTATTAAATATTACTATCAAATTGGAAAGTCAAAACTTGAAATGTTTTATTAATATTTATTTCATGTCATTAGTTGTGAGTGACATTGCCTTAACTTTAATTATTATTAATACCCATTGTTAACAAAATATTAACTTTTTCTATATGATTTTTTTAAAGTAATAAGTTTTTAAATGAAAAAGCAAAGTAAAAACCAAAAACGTCATTGATATTGATATCCAGTTTAAACACCAGTTGAGCCTTCACTTTCAATTAATCAGAGACCGGTTTAGTGCTGATGACGACCCAATATTTGCCATCCCCCGGTTCAACTATCCAAGAGCCCCAACCCATGCGCTTGGATCCACGTCGGTCTCCTCTCATACAATTGGCTCCTTCCATGTTCACCCTATCACAATCCACCACCTGTCCACCATGGACCCACACTATTTTGTTTCTTCGTGACTAAGCAAAAAAAATCAATGGACCCATGGCCTATATGTCACCCCCATTTTCTTCCTCTAAACCCCTCCGTAGTGCCGCGGCGCCCACTTGACTCAAAAGTTAATCTCTATACATATACGGTTTATTATACCTAATACTTTTTTTAGTTATATTATGCCTAATAATTTTATACAACACAATAATATGGTAAAAATAATATAAAATATTAATATATATAATTTGAAATTTTGATAAAAATTAAAATATATATTTTAAATTTAACACAACGACAAAAATTATGATATAATAATTATTTTATTTTATGCATATAATAAAAATAGATTAATATAAATTTAGGAATGGATAGATTTATTGTTTGTGTATGTATTATTTATATGCTAAAATATTAAAGGGCCCTTAAATTTTATCGTTTTATTTAGATAAATCTTAATATTTTTATTTAACCCAAAAAATTTTTATTTTTTATTTGTATTCAAATATATCCTTATTTCAAATAAAATACTAATTTATATTAAAAACTTATTTAATTATAAAAGATAAATTTTATTTAAATACAAATTAAAATTTAAAGATTTATTTAAATACAAAATAAAATTTAAAACTTATTTAAATATAATAAAATTTTAAAAATTATTTAAATACTTTTATTATTTTAGCTATTATCATATTATAAACATACTATGTGTTTGCCAAAAATTGCATTATTCATGCAATCACGTGGAGCCCACAACCTTTCTCAAATTTGTCCATAAATATGAGCCACCTACACTGCATTTCCTCCCTTTTCTCCTCCTTCCTATTTTCTCCATATATTTTTTAGAAGCTTTTGGTTTGTTTCCTTTCTTTTTTACTGTTATTATTATTAAAGTCATGTTGTCCACTGTTCCGACCAGTTTTTTTTCTGATCCGATGCTCGACAACGATCCATTTTCGGCTTTCGGAAGTGGCTTCACGCCGTGGGAATATTGCTCGGATCTTTTTTCCACCACCCAATCGACAGGACCTGCAAGATCGGGTTCCCGTTCAGAAGAAGCAAAACAAAATCAAATCAACTCAAACTCCGTTTCGGATGAACCAAACCAACAGGTTTCTGTCATCGACGAACGCAAGAGAAGACGTATGATTTCGAACCGCGAATCAGCCAGGAGGTCACGGGTGCGTAAACAGAAGCATTTAGAAAACTTAAGGAGCCAGGTGAACCGGCTTAGATTCGAGAACCGAGAACTGAACAATCGGTTGAGGTTCGTTGTGTACCACTGTCATAGTGTAAGGACAGACAACGATCGGCTCCAGTCTGAATATAGTATGCTCCAACAAAAATTATCGGACATACGTCAAATTTTGCTATTCAAGCAACTGCAGCAGTTTTCATCTGCGCGGCCATGCAATAACGTTACTGTCATGTCCGAATAAACCCCACCATTAATCACTGAATACATACCTATATCTATAACTTACAATAATGGCATCATTAAAACTCTTTCTAATACGAGAACGAAATTAGTCCTAGCTGATCTCTATCTCTCCATCGCTCTCATCTGTCTTTCTGTAAATTTAACAGGTGTCAGAGAAACCATAATGGTGGGTTTTTTTAGGGCGGATGAGCCAATATTTTTGCTAAACATGATGAAGAAAAAGAAATGGTTTGATTTGAGAAACCAAAGTATTTGTAGTGTAAAAAGAGTTAGCGTTCGGTTTTATCAAAGTTATTTTTGTTGTTTTCTTCTTGTTGTTATCATTGAAAAGTCGTCTTAAGTTTTAAGCTTTCCCACTCTACATTTTGCTTTATATAATCTAAATGCAGCTAGCCAATGTCTCCAAGCTAAGATGATACCAATGAGTCCATTGAATTTGGAGAGACATATGAGAAAGTCTCTAAAATACCCTTTATTCAATCATAGTAATGATATTATAATCAAAGATTATTAAAGGGTAATGCTGTCCTTTCAATAATTATGACTGTTGGTTTACTTCGTAGGGAATAAAATTGAAATGGGAGATTCACCCAAAAATAAAAGGTGAAATGGGAGATACCGAAATTAATAGTCAAGCAATGTTCTTATATATTCTTAATTATATATTGTTTTAGGGTTTGACATAAGATTCCATGCACCTACTATATTTTTCAAAAGAAAAGCCTGGCCTATCTCCAATTGACAAAAAGTTCATTTAAAGAGGGCATTTCTTCCTAATTAAACCACAATCAAATAGAAAAAGATTAAAGTCACAAAGAACTTCACTCCATCACGACACAGAATATCTTCTTTTTCCTACATCAAAACAAAAAACAGCTCTCAATCCTTTTCTTTTTTTTTTTTGCTTTGGTAGAATTGATTGGTTTTGGATTAAGTACAATGAAGATGTGAACTTTAGTATATAATAATAAGTGATATATATATATATATATACACACACATTAATGACTTTATAATTGAAAAGATTAAGAGAAATGGGGCCACAAATTGTGATCATGGACGTAATCCAAATATCTAATCTGTTAACAACAAAACAGGATGCATTCGTCATTACAAATTTATATCATTAGCACCTTATGTAAAATAATAGATAGTTTAGTAACCAACCCATTTCTAATTTATTTAATTAAATCTCTCTAGCTTTCTTTTTTCCTGTTTTGATGACATTATTTTTAAATTTCTAACTATAATATAGGTAATGTTTGGTATATAAGATGATAGATAAGATAAAATGATAATTATCTTATATTATGTTATATTTATATTTAAATAAAAAGATAGAATTATAAGGAGAATTAATTATCTTCTTAGTACAATATGATCTAATTTTTTGAAAGTGAAGAGAATTATTATTAATCTATAAGATTGAACTAACATATCTTATTATATCTTTAAAAATTATATAAATAATTTAAATTATATAAACTTTTAAAAAAAAAATTTTGATCAATAAATAAATTATCTTATTTTAATTTTTGCATATATCAAATACGAGATAGATTAACATTATTTAATTTAATTTTATTCATAATATTATTTTATCTTATTTTATCATAATTTTTTGTATCAAACATATTTATAGGACATTATTTTATATTGTGCAATATCATTCCTCGCATATTATTTTACTAAAATATTATATGATTTTAGTTTTTCAACCTTTACATTAAAGGCAATAATACATGCATTATTTGTTTGACATATTTATTTTCCACATTTATTTTTTATTTTTAAAATTTTAAATAAAATTTCCGATGATAATGATCAGTGAATAGGACTGGGTTCCTTTCAAAACAAAAGGTTGGTTGGGTTACTATCGGTGGGGGTAGGTGCAGCTGGGAACCCATATCGAATTAATGGAAAAGAAGCACGTCTAGGAGCAGTGAAGTTGTCCAAGCCTTGTCTGTTCCTTTCTTCACTACCAAGTTATCAAGACCTAAAACTTGATTATATAAGCCACATGGCGAATACATAAATAAATTATTCCTTTGATGCCCACCTCTAGAATAGACAATTAAAATAGAAACATCAGCAAGAATTCATCTTGGTAGGGCTTCCTCAGTAGTTAGTTCTAGCTAGGGCAGATTTTTATCACTTGAAAAAATGACATATATGAAACTCATGATTAAAAGAACTAAAATCTTGATCCAAGCTCGCAAAATTTTGGGTTAACAGCCCCTTCAAGGACATATTTTAGTTGTTGTTAATTGCATAAAACAGTATTTTTTTTTCTTCAATCAGGTTTCTACATACGGTTGGTGTCACGCGTAAGCTTGATTTTGTTTGATTTTATGCTTTTCAAAGTTTTGAAGCACATCACTTTATCATTAAAGATATGGATGAAGTGGAGAAGTACAAAATTGCTGTCTCCATAAATTGATGGTCCAGAATTTTCAATTTGATTTTTCTGGTATGAATGTTATCTCCTAAGTTGCTAACCCCTCAAAGTCCACTCAATTAATTGGATTTTCCTGACCAGGTGGCACGAATTTGGTTTGAAAAATCTTCTGGGGTTATTGTACTATAGTAGATTGAATCTCTTTTTAAAGCTAAGACATGTGAGGTGCTGGTACAGAGTACAGATTATTATGTTTATCCCCTTACACTTGGGAACTTCCTCAGAACCTGGAGCTTTCTTTTTCAACCCTCTGTTCATTTTGTGAATTAACTATGGGCTAATGATGAATCCCCTTGCCGACCCAAATTTTCTTTTTGGATAAATGGTATTTTTATTCACTCAAGTAAGAAATTTACTTAAAAAAATGAGATTACAAAATCATTGTGTAATAAAAGTACAAATTAATGATAAAATAAATTAGAGTAACATATGATTCTCAAATTTTCATTTTTGATAAAAAAAAAAAAAACTATTTGTAGCAATATCTGAAAAGTATTGAGTGCCTGAAACCTAAACGGAACTGTTTCTTTGACAAAATTCAATAAATGGATATTTGTGCTACCTGATTTACCAAACGCTGCCCCCAGTTATCAGTTATCAGAATAAGACATTGATTTGAGTACCCAAAACTGGTCAGGAATTTTAATTTCTTCCAAATTTTCGATTTATTTGTCAATGTAAAGTATAAATTCTAATATTTCCCATAGGTCTATGTGCTTGTTGAATGTTATCTCCAATTAATCCATATCTAATATTGAATGTAAAAGTTGGCCTTAATAAAGGTCTACCATGGATGAACAGAAAATGCTTTCTCTGATAGAGAATTGAACATTTATCCACTATTATTTGGAGCACCCAAAACATGTTTTTAATTCATTTTACTTTTATCAACGTGAGATCTTTGCACTATCTTCAGTAACCAATCCCAATCCATTAACTTTTTCCTGGTTGATTATGTTTGCATATGGTTATGATGACTACTTGATCAAAACCATTGAATATTGAATAAAAGAAAGAGTCTTTAACAAAAGATCATCTTTCCACTTCAGCCCATAAAAGATTTTGCACCATCTAATTCCCCTGTTACTCCAGAAGTGTTGAGTGCGTTTGACACAGATCAAACATGTTACTGGGTGGAAAAGAGTAAATTAATAATACAATAAAATCTTATGAAACAGCTACTTCAAGAATTTTTTCAGGCCGTTCGATCAAATATTGCTTTTAGTATTAACTTTTAGAAATTTTAGTGACTGGCTGGTCTGCTTGTGATAAGCTATAAACTATTCTTGCTTTCGGAACTTGAAAGAAGTTAGGCATTAACTGATGGCGATGGATGAATATGCCTGGAATCTCAGAAGGAGGATGCTCAAAATGAGAAGACTCCAACTGTCAACATTTGATCAAGATCAAGATAAGCACTTTCAATCAAAAGCACCTTTGGAATAGCGGAATTTCATCCTTTCTTTAATGATGATACATAAAAGAATGTTGGAAAAGGATGCCTTCTTAAGTTTGTTTATTATGCCATAATATGCACAGAAAATGGGGATCCGTGTTTCTTTTCCAAGGTGGCCATCAGGAGGAACATGCGTCGCGGTTGCAGTGATTTTTTGTTGATACCAAAATCTAGTTTAGGTGATCGAACATGATGTGTCTTAGCTGATGCCCAGAAGAAAAACAAAGTAGGTAGGGTTGTTGGAAGTGTTCTTGGCTTAAGGCCCAAAATGTCGGGTATTCCAAGAAAGAGTAAAAGCTAGGCTATATCATAAAGGAAACGAAAAGAAGTATTTTCCTTTTGGAGAAACTAAAAAAAAAAAAAAAAGTGCCTTTCATCATCAAACCAAGGAGAAGTTAGCCTCAAAAGCATCAATAGAGGGCATGAACCTTGAACAATTAAGGCATGTTGGTATCTAATAATTTTTGGAGAAAGGCTTGTCTTATGATGAGTATATATACGAAGTACATGTCCCAAACTTTAGGATCAAGAAGTAATATAAAAGGAAGGAGAATTAAGAGAATTAAGAGAATTAAGGGAATTAAATACAAGATATACATAGATACGTTGACTTAATAGGAAGAGTCAACCTCTTGGCTAATGGTATCATCAGGGTATAGTTATGGTCCTAAGCCAAGACCAGAGTTTCCTAACTACAAATAAATCAGTTACGCATCAGATGTCAGCATAAATAAATAGTACCGTAGAATGTAATAATATGCTGAAAATGATATTCTATATAATGATTATACCTAGTTTTCATATAGAATTATAAGATTCAACAATGTCACATACATTCGTCGGTTGTCGAAGTACTTTAAGACCTGAGCATCAGTCAATATATATCCATGGACATATTAGCAAAGTTTTAGACAGATATTGACTTTGCATTCCATCTCCCTCTCTCTCTATAAAAGTATGTCGAAGTAACTTACTTAGAAGCAAGATTATGAAGACAGAAATCGTCTAACACTTTGGCTACTTCAACAGGATCAGATTTTCAGAAGCTTGATGTTTACAGAGTCATAGAATCCAATATGGATATTAATATCTTCCTCTGCATAGGTATTATCTTATATAATCATTTGGAATGTGTTAATTATATATCACGTCCTTTTATTCTTTTGAATCTAGACATTAGAACTAATTAGTTATTGATTCTTACCCTAACAAGTAATTAAAATGATTCTTGGAAAATTGGTAGGAATGAACCTTGCTGTAGGCTTATCATGAACATGAGATAATGGTCTTCAAAAACTTCCTTAATTTTACATTTCCAAGTTTCTAATTAGATTCTTAAAACTGGAAAAGTTTTCACAAACCATTTTTAACTCACCAGCATATATGGAATT